TTACTCTACGAATGCTTAGCCTTTTCTCAACTTCCTTTGCCAACTTAACTCATTCAGTATCAGTGCTGCAGTTCATGAACGTCGATCGGTCAAGAACATAACCTTAATATCAACGAAATTGACATTTATAAAGCTATCTAGCAGCCTATGTTACCAGCAAGCCATGCCAGGTAAAATTTTGCTGAAAAATCAATGCTAAGATTTTCAGCATTCGGTTCGGCAACCGAAATTAGTGAGGTCGTCAATATCATGATCCGAATTTATTGTACTATGTACTGTGCTATGAAACAAAATTATACAGTTTATCTCAGTTTTTTCCTCTCATGTAAAGTATCTTTCTGATAGCATAAAAAAGTGTATGGCTTATTACTTATCCAGGATTAGATTAGCGGTAGATTGATGTGAGACACGGACATTGATTCGCGAGATATGCCTGGTAAAGTAACGTAAGCGCGCCCAATTCAATGAATAAAACATTCACCAATTGAAAATAACCTGAAGTATGCCTAATCCATGAAAGTAATTTGAAATCGTGATTCATCGAAAACAACTGTCAATTATTGAAAAAAAAAATAGTTCTATCGAGGCATAACGAAAATTGGTTATCGATTTACTAATTCAGTCAACCAACTTTTATGTTCGACAGGTCTTCATAAAGGCTAAACATGTAATTTTTTATTGCGGTTAACGACCTGCAATCATCAGTCGAACTAGCGACAGACAATCATTACTGAAACGTGAATTGCCCACATGATTCCGCAAGATGCATTCATAGAAGTATCTACACGACTGACAGATCTGTGTAACCACCAATTTTCTGGTGTTTAACCAATGCAGTTATGCATGAGAAAAATGGCAATCTCTAGTAGATGAATGTTACTTTTTTAAACACGACATAAAATATAATGTGAACAATGTGCATCAACCAAAGTAAAACAATACTATTATACTATTTAAAAGGGGCCGGCCATTAATCACCCCCCCCCCCCCCCATCATCAAGACTACCCCCTATATCACGTGTATTTTTTAGTATAATGCGATTCAAATAACAGGAAAGCCAATGACCTCTATCTGTCAAATGTCGCTTGAAAAGCACGGTTTGCAAAAAAAAACTAGGAACCCTTTTCCAGCACTCCGCTAATTCAAGAATAAAAACCAAACATTTGTAAACAAACAATCACAAATATTGGTAATTAATATCGGTTGATATTTTTTTTTCACTTATTGAGCTTTGGCCATGAATGGTTGATAACCTAAATCGTCAACCAAATGTCACTTTAAGTTGCGTTCAAAAACTCGAATTCTACCTTTCGTTAACATAAAGGATGCATGTTCGTATGTGATCTAGTAATAGTGCATGATTATTCATATCATAACTACTCCGGCGGTAATGCAGAGATGAGCGGAATAGAAGAGATAGATTCTGATTAATGTTTTTTCTCAAACTCAAATCATTTATTGCAACCATTTCTTTTCTCACAGTCTTAATAAACAAATATTATTAAAAATCGGGTTTTTTTTCTCAATCTTTTGTCACTTCATCTTAGTAGATAAGTTTTATACAATATGGCGCCCAGTCGGTCCTATTCTTAGTTGATACGCATTATATTTTTTTGAAAATATTTATACAATACAGGTATAAAGGTTAAATATATCAAGGTTGCAGGTTGTTTTTGACTGACATAAAAATAATGAAAGAAATGCGAAAAACTTATACATGAACATTATTTAATGTACCTACAGTATCCTCGGACCACGGAAATACATGTGATATATTACTATAGCCCCCCTTCCCCCTTGTGATATTTCGTGATTTTTATGGACCCCCCCCCCTCCCCCTTTCGAGCCTCACATAATTAATGGACAGCCCCAAAGTGGTTTGTATAAACGAGGGCTCAGAAACTCTTTTTCTAAGTAATTTCATCTTATCTAATGTTACCATTTATAGTCGAGTAAGGCGATGATTTGTGCATAAAGAGTTCCTTGTTGGTGTTGTAAGAACATCCGTCGACTGCGATTCGTATCAAACAAATCAAACACAAACATCATCCGCTAGTAACGCTCAACGCGGATGGATCCATCTTGTATTATGTACAAGTATATATAGTACGAATGATTTTCGCTCATGTTTGTTGATTAGATAGAACAATTATGATTAGTGTTGCATGACCGAGCACTAGAATAAGACCATGATTGTAATGTGCTACGATGCTATCAGAATATGAAATCTACGATTCTATAAACAAAAAGAATTGTTTCTTCAAGAAATATCATGCTATGTCAGTCAATGGTGAATGAGGACGTGTTAATTGAAATTATTGCAAATCACCCATAAGGTGAAATTTCAACAAACTGAAAAAAAGGTGCCATGTCATTTCGCACACGAAGGTGTGCTTTTGTTAAAACTTACTTATTACAAGTTTGTTAGAATTTGCTTTAAGGCATAATCAGGTAGCGGTGCTCTGAAATTATGTATATTAACTTGTGTGGTGTGATTGCGGAAGATGCAAACGAGCAACTGTACAAATGTTTGCAGAGACCGGATGAGTCAATCAACGCAGGCGCAGAGTTCCCGGCTTTTATTGAGGGATAGACTAATTGAGCAGGCATAATGTGGTAAGGCAGATCTTTACCATGGGACTCGTGGCATTATTAATTTCTATTAAAATTATTTAAGGATCCATTCCTTTCTGCATACAACTCTGCCTAATCATGTACCTACATTTATATAAAAGAAAAATGCCGAAATCATTAAAAATCTAAACGGAATTTATTATCCATTTCTACCACATAAAAATGTCGTTTAAACATTGAAATCAATGGCATCGTTGATGAAATAAGCTACAGAAATCATAAAAAAATAAACCTGATCGGTAAAAGCTTGAATGTAACAAAATATTATACAGCGAATTGCGAGCCCGACAAAATACTATAGTCGCGGCACGCTTTGATGACTGTTTTCACACATCACAATAGAAACGTGATAAGGGAATTTGTTAAAAAAAAAATCTAACTGCGTCTAGATAATAATGTTTCTTGTAGATTCCCATTTTTCAAAATATTTTAATTCATTTTTTCACAAGTTTCTATTGAATTTATTATATAATTTATACAAAATCTTATTTGAGGAGTGAGTTTTTTTAAATATTATTATAAAGGTTTTTTGACATTATTTTAACGTAGGATCAAATATTTCAAAACGCCAGTCTACGGCAATTCATATTCTATTTACTTTGGAAAATTTGTGAAATGTAGTTTAAAATGAAGTTGTATGATTTATTGAATGAACCTATTTTTTATTTAATCTATGGAATTTTATTTTATCATCGAATTTACAAATAAAAATACTGTGATATAAATGAAAATAATATACTATTTCAGGTTTCAGTTTTAGCGTATGCAAAAGCGACAGCAGATTTCTAATATTATCACTCACTTGTTAAATGATGTCTTCACAGTACTTGTAATTCATGGATGGATAAGGTGTGAGTTATGTTAAGAATGTCAAAGGCACGAAATACATTTACACAATGAGATTGTTTTGATTTTCTGTCGATAGGCAGAACTCATAGGTACTTCGATGATGTTAACAATAATATTGTCTCATCTCGGTAATTCCACAATACTAATTGTACCGTGTTAATTTGATTTGAATACAGTGGCGCCACTGTAAATTCTTTTATTTGAACAAAACTAATATTTACATATATAATCAACATAGGCTTTTATAGTACACTAGTGGCCCGCCCTCGCTTTGCTTCGGTGTAGAGCTATAGTGTAGACTATTGTTTTTGTTCAAAGGCTTGTATTATACACAATGACTTTCTTCATGATAAATAAAAACCTTCCATTCCAAGTAAAAAAATCGTTGCGTAGTTTAGGACCCGTTGTACCCAATGCATTGCTCTGCTGTTCCGATTTGAAAAATTCTTTTTGTATTTGACAGTGCATTTATCGTGGAAGACTATAGGCTATTTATTACCAGGCTAGAACCAGTAGCAACGGAGCATCGATGAAAAATGTTGCAGAAACGGGTTAAAATACTTCATTTGTTAGATTCCATTGCTAACGCTGGGTACACGGTTAGTTACATAAAAATTATGTATGACGGAATTCTTCCCCTTTAAAAGTTCTGTAAAAATGTCTACGACAGTCTATGTCCATATTTAAAGTTTGACTCACTATAAACCTTTTTCTTCCAATTAACGCGGGTGAAACCGCAAAGGAACTCTAGTAGTGGCATGAACTGTAATAGTAAGACAAATGATATCGCGGACTTTTTTGTAAATATTGGTATCCTCTCTAAAACTTTAGTACATCACTTTGCTCTATTCAGTCAATGACTTCCGCAGCGTACTCGATATACGGCTATTTTTAGGTATTTTTTACACGTTGGGTTACATTATCAAAGTGTTCATACGGAACCCTAACTTTTATGAAAATACACTATAGCCTATATTAATCAGTGATAATGTAGTATTCAAATGATGAAAGAATTTTTAAAATCGGTCCAGTAATTTTTGAGGCAATTCGTTACAAACATACTTACATACAAAACTTTTCTCTTTATAATATTGAAATAAAGTATAGAAGTATAGACCAGCGGCCGCCCGCGATTTCGTACGCGTGGAGTTAGTTAGAAATGAAGGTTCACTGCTCGTTCCCCGTAGGTGATAGCGCGATAGTATGTTCAAATGATGAAAGAATTTTTAAAATCGGTCCAGTACTTTTTGAGCCAATTCGTTACAAACATACTTACATACAAAACTTTTCTCTTTATATTATTAAAATATAGTATAGAAGTATAGACCAGCGGCCGCCCGCGATTTCGTACGCGTGGAGTTAGTTAGAAATGAAGGTTCACTACTCATTCCCCGTAGGTGATAGTGCGATAGTATGTAGCCTATATGTTGACTTCTAAATAATATTCGTGCCAAATTTGAAGTGAATCCATGCAGTACTTTTTGAGTTTATCCCGAACATACATACAGACAAAAATTCTAAAAACTATATTTTTGGCTTCGGTATCGATTGTAATTCACACCCCAAGTATTCTTAAAAAAAAAATATTCAAATGTTCTGACTTTCCTAATTTTATTATATTATGTATAGATTTACAACTTACAATGCCATAATCTAGATTTCATACATCAATAGAAAGAGCTTGTATATAGAGCAATATTTTAAAGCAGGCAGTCTAGTAGCAGCTTGTATGTTAGGTCAACCCAGTAACGTGGGACTTGTTGCGAAACTGCTAAAAACGTAATATGCACGGATGACCGCCCCCACTGTAACCACCTCGTCTCCGTGGCTGAAGCTATCATTGACGTTACGGTCGCGATGAATAGTGCTCGGTGCTTCGCGTATATGCCGGGGCCCAAGCCCTTGCCTCTTTTGGGCAACTCCTGGCGTTTCGCTCTAGGCTCGAAGCCCTGGCGCACAAGCGCTTTAGACATTACTCTATGGACACTGAGGATGCTGGCCGGTGACGGCGGCGCAGCTAAAGTGGCTAAACTGTTCGGTCATCCCGATTTAGTGTTTCCTTTTTGTGCCGACGAAACTGCCCGAATCTATAGAAGGGAAGATGCAATGCCCTACCGAGCAGTGGCACCATGTCTTAAGCATTACAAACAGGAATTGCGTAAAGATTTTTTCGGCGATGAACCTGGACTAATCGGAATGTAAGTAAATATTATGCTCTTAACATTACCGGTATGGTCGCGTGATTTACAAAGAGATAACTTTAATTGCAGACACGGTGAACAATGGTCGAGGTTCAGGTCAAAAGTGTCTAAGGCACTTGCAGCTCCAGAAGCGGCAAGAGCAGCAGTGCCGGCTTTAGACGAGGTTGCGCACGATTTTGTAAGCAGGTAATCGCCATTTAAACGTACGATAGCAGCTTTAGAGCTGATGCAGTAAATTCGGAATCTGTCTTCACTTTACTGTTTTATTACTGCTACATTATCATAAATACGAAACGTATATAAGATAGTTTATTAATGGACGCATGGGGTCTCATTTAATTATCAGGATATAAAATGTATTTGCAATTAGACCATTAATTCCTTATCAAATCGAGGACTCCTCGTATTCGGTTTTCTTTATAATAAGTACTGTAATTTCTTAGTCTACTGTTCATAATGACAAATCTTAACTTAATATGACAATATAAGAACAGCTGCTATTGTTAGAAAGATTGTGTAAAATTTACACGGACAGTTTGGAAACTTAAAGAGGATACATGAAAGAAGACTCATAAAAAAATGGATGACTATCGAGAATGAATGGATGCAGCGATTGATGAATATTGTGAAAGTAATAACAGATTGTCCTGATAGTAGCAAGTAGTAATCTATAGTCTATGAAACAGGAGTGAATTTTAATCTCATGCTTCATTGTTTAACATTTGCTACATAAAGCAACCATTGCAACAAAAAACATTTCTCAATCACAATCGCAAACATTTGTATAAAACCTTTTTTAGCTACCTTCATTAGTATTCTGCAGTTACAAAATGTATGGGTACAGTCTCGGTTTAACCAGTTCCTCACACGAATAAATATAGGATCGGCATCGCTCTGGTTACGCTAAGTTATGTATAGAGCAAATAAGTTTTAACAACACATCACATAAGACTCAAACCAAGCGGAAATCGAGCGGGAACTCTTATTATATAATTTCAGTAACACATGAAAGAAATCGGTTTATCAAATCTAGGCGTAATTAAGTTTGCGGAGCAGTAAAAGAACCGGTTTTGCAGTTTCGCGGTATGCATACAAATGAAATGGAGGAATTACATCTACGTCATGTCAATATTGCAGGGATGGACGTTTGTTTTTCTATTGCATAAAACATGGCGAACAGACCAGCATTCCTTTATGAATTGGACAGTTGCACTTATCTAATAGTCTCGGGAGAACTGTGGTCCGCAGAATCTCAGTTTAATGACCACATCCCGTTTATAACGATGGCGTCTGCGCAGTTTGTTTGGAGCGCGGTATTACTCATTGCGGGAATAACACAGTCCATTCAAAATTATTCATTAAAAAAAATGTGTTGGATAACATAAGTAGATGTGGTTTGGGTCAATGTTTTCAATTTGCTTAGATTAGAACTTATATATTCTGATCAATAATTGTAAACTAAGCTCAAGCTCGCTAAATAACAATACATTTAAGTAACTAATATAAAATCATTATGGCACAGTATGATTGTTTTAAATGAACGCTGTTATTTTATTCCCTCTTCAGCAAAGGTTTCAACTTTACGTCTATTGCAAGTTTTTTTGATTCTGATTATTTCTAATATAAAATACAACTGATCATCTCTTTTATCAAATAATCTATTTATTGTTTTTGGTTTGTAGAATGGAAACTCTCGTGGACAATGATCGCGAGCTTCCTAGCGATTTTTTGACAGAACTCTATAAGTGGGCATTGGAATGTAAGTTAAAGGCGTAAATCTTTTAATTTTCTTTGACATGAAATAAACATTTTGCACAATATTTTCCATTTAATTTAACAGCAGTCGGCGCGTGGGCCCTAGGTTCACGTTTGGGGTGCTTAAACGATAACGATACGGAGGCTAGAGAAATCATTCGATGCATACACGGTTTCTTCCATAGTGTGCCAGTTTTGGAACTGTCAGCCCCACTTTGGCGGTTATACGCCACTACAGCATATAAGACTTATGTGGAAGCATTGGACGCTTTCAGGATGATCTGCTTAAAGAGATTGGCTGACAAGGGTGTATGTGCTGATATAGCCAAGATTTCAGGAGAAAAAGTTGCAACCATACTGGCATTAGATTTACTATTAGTCGGTGTGGACACAACCGCCGCGGCGGCTGCGAGCACGATGTACATGCTGGCTACGAACCCGAGAGCCAAAAAAAGGTTGCAAAAAGAATTGGACTCATATTTACCTACAAACAGAACTGTGACAAGCAAAGACTTAAACAAGTTACCGTACCTCCGAGCTTGCATAAAGGAGACCTTGCGGTAAGTCAGCTTTTCTTACAGTACCTATCTACGTAATAATGAAACTACCTTGCGCATATCGTTGTATGAATTTCCTCTATTGCTTCACCTCCCATTACTAGCGATAGGTGACACCCCACGGTACGTCGTTATCTCACACCAGACTATAGCCCGACAGTAGTTTGCATAATATTTACGTTACCGCAGTAGCAGACAAACATCCCCTTTTCTCGATACTTTTAAACAACCAATAATGTATTAGAATATCGGTTAATAACACTATATAGAACGCAATCACGAAAAACGAAGTTTAATAGCAGCGCACTTTTAGCATTCAATACAAAAATCTTATTTATTTTATCTATAAAAATAATCTATATTCAGTCGGCACTAGTACGTCATGTCTATGTCAAAACAAGAAAAAATGTTGTGAATTTATATAATTGATCAAAATTAAATTTGATGGTGTATTGATCTTGGATAGAACTTTTATCTAGTACTTAATATGCTATTTTGTTTAAGTTTAACCATATTGGGATTCCTTTTTTCTACCAAACTTTGAAATGATACATGAATTCATGCCAAAGTCATTTTAAAGTTATCTGATCAACAAACCGTCTAGTTTATCTTTTAACTTATATCCAAAAGATAAATAAATTCAGATACAACACAGTTACTGTCAAGATGTATTCTCAAAAGATATATTTTATACGTAATATGAACGAATGTTAGATTAAACTTTTAAGGAATAAATAATAAAATTTGATGTTACGTATCTAATTTTCTTTTAATAACCACAAATGTAACTTAATCATAACTTCTTTCGATAAATGACAGCATATCAGTGCCGCGCGTCAGTATAATATTATAAGTTTCCAGTTTGCACTCATCCAAGTATGAAATATATTTAACCCAACTACTAGTTTATCCAGTTTACGTTACATGAGCGCATTAAACCTTTTCATCATAGATCAGGGGCGGCGATACCTGATATAAAATAACATTTTGCATATTACAGGATCAAACCAGTTATTTTGGGGAACGGTCGGTGTATCCAATCTGACGCTGTGATATCCGGATACGAAGTTCCGAAGGGGGTAATAGATTCACACCTTTGTAAATTCTCATTAAAAGAGAGCAAGTTTTTTAATGATTTAATTAATGTTTCAGTCGCATGTCGTGTTTCCGCATTATATTATGTCTAATGAGGAGAAATATTTCCCTTCGCCGCAAGAATACGTTCCGGAGCGGTGGTTACGCGATAATGATGTTAACCAGAGAGAAGTGATCCGCTGTTCCGTGTCACGGTCGAGGAAAGGTGTCGTCGCAGGGTGCGAGCAAGAGATATTACGTGATTCGGAACAGGTCCTGCATAGCAGCGACGATGACGTGACAGCGGTGTGTCGAAAACAGAAAGAGGTTGGGATACACCCGTTCGCCTCGCTTCCTTTCGGCTTCGGCCGGCGAATGTGTATCGGGAAGAGATTTGCAGAAGCCGAACTACAACTTTTATTAGCTAAGGTAATATTATCTGTATATATAAAAGGCAATTGTTACTGGTGTTGATTCTGGCATGATTCTCTTAACTTAAAACTAAATTTAACATCAGTCTCTCCTTTTCATTAAGTATAGAGAATGACAAAGATACGCTGTTGTAAAATTTAAGTTTAGGTTTAGAGAAGCCTGCCGGAATCGACACCACTGACTGACTAATTTCTCAACGCACAGTGCTGAAATTTTGTACTTACACATAATAATATAGTTATTATGATGTAGGGGTGCTCTAAGAAAGGATTTGCCAAAATTCACCCCCTAAAAGAATAAAACTGGGGTTCAAAGTTTGGATGGGACACCAACATATAGTAATGAGGCCATAGTTCAAAACAAAATTTGTTGTTGATTTATTAATTGCTGGAACGACCAATTGAAGTTTCCTTTCTTTAAGTACCAAAATAAAAGGTTCCAAAAGAAGTGTATGAAAAACTAATGAATTGGAAACTTTACATTGTCTATATTGAACTGTTAACAACTTCTTTACTTTCTATGGTTATGAGATGGGAATCGGTTCATAATTGAAAAAAACACTGTGTTACCTCACAAAAAACATCACTTCACGTCAATATGTTCCGTCAAGTGACAGAAAGTTAGCGGGAGTTTCGTTAATATTTAGTTTTTATTTGATTTCAGACATTCCACCGTTACGATGTGTCTTGGAGTTACGGTGCGCTAACATATAGCGTGACACCCACCTACGTGCCCAACGAGCCTTTGAAGTTTACATTGACCCCGAGAAAAAAAGACAGATTACATAAATATAGTTAGTTGTAATAAAACACTTCAATATGTGCACTTGTGCACACTTCATAGAACAGCTAACGGATTATCTGATAGCGATTTACTGAAGAAACTTTTATTCAGGGTCCCTACTCGATCTGTGCGTGCACAGCGATTGTTCAATGTACCAGCAGCAAAAAGTATCCCAAAATGGTCCCTTGCGTAGAATGTGCAATCACTACAAAGATATTTGTTTAAGTTGTGATTTATTTAATTGTAGTATACCTGTTTTTAGAAAAGAAAATGTATATTAACAATAATGCAGACCAGTTAAATTACTGTATAATTCTTTATACTTAAGTAACTACGTTATTTTAAGGTTAACATCAGCAGTAAGGTGTACATTTGATTGTAAAGTGAATGAATTGCATCTTGTTTAAGTCCAGAAAAATACCGATAGTCAATAGTTAGATATATAAATTAACGTTTATTAATACGATCTGTAAGATGTTTATTTAGTCCTATTGCGAAAAATAAAATAATTGCAAATTGTATACGACGATACAAGTATGTATATAGGTATTAATTAGTTTGTAAGCCTACTAACTAATTAAAACTCAAACAGTATTAAATTGATAAGGTTTCCATTGTTTTTTATTTAGCTGTATAGCGGTGGAATATTCACGGTACCATATAGGTAAAACACTAAGTACATCCACTATCTGATAGCGATTATTACAAAAAAAATATTAACAAAAATAAAGCCGACTTCGATAAAACAAAACCACTAAAAGTTAAGATATAATACATTTTCTTTAGTAAAGTCTAAAGTACCTTTAAAGTCAAATTAATATTTGGGGTCGGTGCCATGCCAACCCACGTAGTAAATGGAAACGATGGAAACTCAGATCTGTCAGGTATGCATTATGGCACCTCTCTTTCATATTTTGTAAAATAACCAAACACGATATGTGTTCTATTCGTATTTGAGGAGTTCCGTTGTTTATTTTCCAAAGTATTTATCAGATCTTCTTCACCAAATTAATATGGGACCATCTCGCTAAGAAACTAAAAAAATAAGTTTGTTTGTAACGCGCCTAAATACTCCACATTATTCCAGAACGCGGACTAAAGTTAATCTTCATTTAAACCTAATGTTGTTTTCTTTTTAGCAAACAAAAGTGACAACATCAGTTTTAGTTCTGGTTTAATTTTAGTCTACGTACTGAAAGGTCTATTCTCTATTCAACTTCATCTGAGACAAAAGGTAAACTAACCATAAAAAGGTTTTTCAATAGGTCGAATTTTATAAGTTTACAAAATAATAAAGAAGAAGTGACATTAAAAAGACCTAAAATTGTAGCTATTCCTAAACTACTACACTTTGACTGAATATATCTCTACTAAATTGAAGAAAATATTATATGTTGAAATGTGAAATTTTGTTATTAGTCTGGTTATATTGGCCATCTTTATTCTAGATAAAAAAGTTCTAGAAACTTTGGTTTATTTGTTTAGCTTTTGTCACAGAAGTAGTTGAATACAATGTTTATGTATTTTCATCCCACCACCTCGGAAAGTGTAATTTTGCGCTTCGAAATCTGGCTGGAAAATTCTATTTTATTCGCTTGAGCGGCAAAGTAGATTTGAATTTAGAATATCACATATAATGAGTACTCAATATAATTGTAAATTCAAAACGTCATTAAACCTATTTAATGTAACCTCTATGGTGCCAAATTTATGATTAGAACTTTTTAAATTGTGAAAAAATTTAAATTTGGAACCTTCTTGGTTTCTTTGTTTTATTTGCGTGCTTCGCGCCATTCTAGTTTTTCACGTTTTATTGCTTAATATAATTAACATAACCTAAAAACTGTACAAAAAAATCAACTAAAATGAGTGACATTAGCGACGATGAAGTTTATCTAACGCCAACTGAGTTAACTGAAACAGTTAATAATGCGCAAATGAGCCTTCTCCCTCAGCAATCACGAGAGAAGTATTTGAAACAGTACGATATATTTAACATGTGGCGACTAGCTAAAGGAGCAAAAACTTTCTCCGAAAACGTTTTGCTGGCATATTTTATAGAATTATCTGAGACCAAGAAAGCAAGCACGCTATGGAGTACGTATTCAATGCTAAAATTAACAATTAAGATGAAGAAAGACGTTCATATCGACACCTATCATAAATTAGTGGCATTTTTAAAAAGAGCCTCATCTGGTTATAAACCAAAAAAATCGAAGGTTTTCACAGCATCTGAAATTGCAAAGTTTATTAATGAAGCACCTGATTCCGTATATTTAGCGGCAAAAGTAAGTCAATACGTGTAATTTTTTGTTGTTGATAAAATTGTACATAGTACTTACAATATTTTTAATTTGATTAATTTATTTACGATTATAAATACTTCTTTTGTTACAGGTTGTTCTTATTATTGGTATAACCGGAGCATGTCGAACAAATGAACTTACACTACTTAATGTCAATAACGTATCAAAATATTCTCATAATTCTGATGAATTGCTATTAATTAATGTACTAAATACCAAGACAAAAAAAGACCGCAACTTCGTTATTCGCAAGGAATATGTAAACATTGTTCAGAAATATCAAGCTTTACGTCCTTCTAACACCCCAATTGAACGATTTTTTCTACAATATCGCAACGGAAAGTGTATCCGACAACCTATGGGTCAGAATAAAATTGGCAGTATTCCACGAGAAATAGCAACTTTTCTCGGACTTTTAGAACCCCCGTTATACACCGGTCACTGTTTTAGAAGAACCTCAGCCACACTTTTGGCCGAATCAGGGGCTGATCTTCTATCGCTTAAGCGCCATGGAGGCTGGAAGTCTAATTCGGTTGTAGAGGGATACATAGAGGATTCAATCCAAAGTAAATCAAAAATTTGTAATAGTATCGTGGAGGCCATAACGCTGAAAGAACCTCTGTCAGATTCTTGGTCTCGCCCTTCTACATCTAAAATGAGCCCCCATAAGATTGGAAACAATAGCCCTCTCTCGCCAACATTTACGCCAATAGAATCCAATGAATCGGCACAACTATTTAAAATTACTGATACGAGTAGTTTACCACAAAACAGCGCACAATTCACAAACACCAACATAACATTACCTAACAAAAATATTAAACTTAACATAAGTAACTGTAGCAACGTTACATTTAATATTTCTTAATTATTTTCTACTTCTTATTATTTTCTTCAATTTATAGATTATCTTAATGTGTTTTAATTGAAATAAAAATATTTTGTCATTATAAATTGTTTTCTTTTTCATTTTGTCATTTCCTCGCTGAGGTGGGATGAAAAGTTACGTATTGCACTCGAGTGGAAAGATTTTTCACCTTGTGCTCGTTTGTTTCCCTCGCTGACGCTCAGGATTCTAATTTAGAATCACTCGCTGCGCTCGTGATTCAACTTTAGAATCCTTCGCTTGCTCGGTCATCCAAATCGAGCACGCGGTTAAAAAGGAACTTTCCACTCTTGTATAATAAATAACTATTATTAGTTACTAGAGGTCGCCCGCGACTTCGTCTGCGTTTACTTAGTTTCTTTGTAAATCCCTCTGGAATCTAACACTTTTTCGGGATAAAAGTAGCCTATGTGTTAATCTAGGGTGTCAGCTAACTCCATACCAAATTTTATGAAAATCACTCCAGCCGTTTAGACGTGAAGAAGTAACAAACATACACACTCACATACTCACAAACTTTTGCCTTTATAATATTAGTGTGATTGTTTACATATTTTTATTCATATAGTTGACATGCATTTTTTTTTATTAATATTTTTTTAGTGTATGTTCACGGGACATGTATGTCTCCCAGCATAGCTCCTACGCAGGTGGGCTGGAAGAGATTTCTTAGAGAAATAAGCCACACCTTTTGTACGTTATTATTTAAAATGTGTATGTTTTGATTTTTTTTTCGTGTGCAATAATTTATTAAATAAATAAAATATAGCTAGTACTTACTATTTGGCGGAATCGTTGAGCTGGTACTCGTTGGAGCGGCCGAAGCACTCCTGCACGCCGGAGTCGGCCCACAGCCTCTTCATCGCCGCCAGCAGCTCCTCGCTGAACGGCTCCGTGTCCTCCATCCGTTGGATCACGTCGAACACCATCTTGCCATCGCTCTGGATAAATTAAAAAACATTTGTAAATGAACATTGTTATTGGTAGCTAAGCTTTTAGGCCGGTAAGATCAGGGGGTCTGAAATAACGGCATTTCATGAAACATCTAATAGTAGATTAAGCCCCAAGGAGCTTCGAGTAAGAACTGCCCAGTTAAGCCTATGAGACATCTTAAATTGTTCAATCATTTATTCCATAATGTGTGAATAAAAGCCTTTTTTGCTTGACAGATACCTTTTTACCTTTACAGACAACTTTAGCGCCCTTGGGTTAAGTTTAAATCGATAATGCTTGACATATAGCACGTGCTCCAGATGCAAGTGCAGGATAAAATATGTTTTTATCACATCAATTCGAAAAGAGCTAGTTTCTTCTCTCTTTACAGGGACCAAAATTGCGTTTTGACCCCTGGGGACAAAAAGTGATTTGAATTTGGAATGTGGATATTGTTGGTAAAAGGTCCAATCACCAAAGTGATCAATCACGAATATTTTATGAACAAGTTACAGAATAAACCGCGCGCTCATCAAAAAAAAAACTAAAAGTTTGTGAAAAAATAGAAACGCTCGAAATACATTCCAGCTTCGTTCATAATAAATTATTTACTCAAATTTGGATTTAGTTGGTTTTATAAATAGTAAGTGTCTTCCTCGAATAGGGAGAATGAGGGTATGCTAAAATTTTAATACAAAGATACCTACAAAATCCCGCGAACAATATATAAAAGCATATGTTTTCATACTGTGGAAAAATGCAAGAAAGGGGAAATATTTTACAGAAAATGTATTTTTGGCCTATTTCCAAAATTGTCTTGTTGTTCTTATAAATGTAAATTAGCGGCCGCCCAAACATACTTCTCTTACATATTCGGAGTTACATTTGGGTACTTATTATATCATAGAGGTGATTAAAAGTAGTGTCCACAAGTGTGATTTTGATTCCCTTACTGCAATCGGGATTCTACATTCTTCCGCACTGGATTCAAAAAACTCTCTCGCCTTTAAAATAGTTTTTTACTTCCGTAGAAAACAAACTTCTATATTCATCTAAATATTCTATTTACGAATTCCATAAAAAAACTGTCTTACTTAAACTTAAATGATACGGGAATTTCTTAAGGTTATTCAGAATGTAAATTTTAGTATTCATGTAGTTTTTAACTTCTTGTTATTTAAATGTAAAGATGTGTAAATATACGGTTATAATCATTTAAAAAAAAACTTATGTTTCACAAAATATGTAATTTGTTACTTGAAGATTAGAACGACGGGCGTGCTTTTCTGGTTGCGAAAATTTGTAAAATATTGTCATAATGAAGAGCAGTCACGTTTTTTGTGAGGTAAAATATTTAAATCAGACAAAAAATGACGAAGCTACAGCAATGTAAGTGCATTAGTTTCAGAAACGCGCCCGATAATGAAGCGACTCGCTGTGACGTCATGTGTTATGACCGCTTCACTGTGCGCTTCGAACAGCAGCGCAATCTGCAGAAATATTTAATTTGTACGTTGTCGTATGTATTTATGTAGTTTCTTTGATTATAATGTCATCATACAAATATTGTATTGTGCCATACTACAAAAATACTACCATTACTACACCTAATAAACTATTTTTATCTGTAGAGAGATGCAAAGATAAGAAAAAAATGGTGTAAAATAATGAGTAGAGACTATAAAATTCTTCTTGTAAATAAAAGTGTTTTGTACTGTTGCGAAGATCATTTTGATGTAAGTATTGCGGTACCTAACGCGATTACGGTTTAAAAAAAATATTAGTACCTATAAAACATAAATTAAATTAAATGGAGATTCTCCTAAAATTCCACTAATATTATAAGCGAGAAACTTTACATTTGTATATTACACAAACGAAAACGACTGTAATTACGATTACTGGGATTCGGAGTATAAAATATTTTTATACTCTGAATCCACAATATCTCCACTCACTCACACTTATATAATTAATTACTAAGTTCCTCAAAACAAAAATAAATGATTTAAACACAAATAAAAATCAAACAATGCACGCGTGGTACAAGCATCAAGTAACCGGTGAATGATATGTTCGAGTGGTCGCACGGATCATAACAGATGACGTTATCGTTAAGAATCGAGCTGGATGGTTCATAAAAATTGCTATTAGCAGGAACAAAAAAATGGCATTAAACAACAAGATATTTTGCTTAGGCTGTTTTTCGGCAATCACGGTTAAGTTTTCAGCAATAATCAACCAACAACTGAATGTCCTATCTGCCTTGATATCTCTTTTCCATCGATTTTATGCCTGCATGAAAATATTCGCCTTGTTATTTGCTAAAATCTGTTAAATTATGCGAAAGTGATTTATTGCTGTTATTGAAGTGACGTTAATCACTTGTCAGATAAGTATTCAAACTCATGAAAGACAGAAAATCATTAACACCACAATAATATACAAAATGATCATCACAAGAAAAAGATAACATAAGTATAAATAATATCCAGGGTGTAGGTAAACTAGGAGCTGATATTTTAAAATTATGTATACCAATATTCTTTATATGACGCACCTTATAGATCACAAATACAAAAAAGGCTGCATCAAAAATCATTTTTAGGCGTTATATATAAGCAAGCTATATTCTGGATTTATCAATAAAAACTTGCTTAAATAATTGTGCGTTTCAAAGGGTTGGCTTATGGCGCCTCACAACTCCACACGCGATGACGCGCCTGACTCATATGATAACAAAATACCAGTACATAACAAAGAGGGGGCATCTGTCTTTGCAGTAAGAAGTTCATTAAATTGAATGACACCTCAAAATGAAATTTGAAAGTTTTGGAACTAATGCGAAAAACATTTTGCAATAGCAAACATTTTGCGAATATACATATACCTTGCGCAGAGGAAATTACTAACTTTCGTTTAACAAATTGTGTTTATTTTTATTAGCTCTTGCAGATGAATTAAACCTATTATGTATCATCACCATTATCATCATCAACAGCTCCATCTTAGTCCACTGCTGCCTCTCCAAATACACGCCACTACACACTATTATGTATATATTTTCAGAAATATATAGTTGATGCACAGACATCGATAGCGATTAAATTTTAATGTATGTATGTATAATTCATGGCGAGAGCAGATCTCGTTTAGGTTTGGTTCAAAATTTTATAAGAAAATATGAATCTACTCTGAATGAGATTTGTATCATGCCAAATTTTATGAAAATCAAAGAACCGTTTATCACAAGAAAAGATGAAGGTCGTGTTTACACGTCCACAACATCATGCGATAACTTTACGTCATAACATATATCTCGTGACGACAAAATTACACCAATGGTGGTATTCCACCAACTACCTACAAGGCTATACACTAAAATGGTTTTAGAGATTCGATAATGTTTACATTTGATCTCACACCAAAAGTATTTTGATTAATGCTGTAAGTTATAATGAGTTTTTTTGGAAGGCTTACTAAGGCAAAAGCATAAGGCGTAGGCTTCAATGAAAATTATGATTAGATACTTTGCTGTATTTATTTCCAAAACAAGTGAGAGTATCCTAAAACCAGCGCCGAGACTATTATTTTTGAGTGCTTTGTTACCACAAATATTAAAGGGATACCATTATTACATTAGCCTCATGTGAATTATTAAGTGAAGTTAAATTCCTATTAATAGCGCTAAGCACAAATCCATTCCGAATAAAAGAAACATACACATATAAAAAAAAGTTTGCGATCATTTTGAAAATAGATTGTTTTTTGTGTTACAGAAGACTTTTTAGTAATTTCTTTTTCTGATAAGATTCTAATAATAATTTTAAAATTAGAATCCGAACGTAAAACAATGAAACAATGCAATTGTTTCCTTAAAAAAAGACATGCAATCCAAGCAGACACTCATTCAGAAATCTGAATTGGTCAATATTGAATTTAAAATATTATTTCACGGAAAGTTGTGATTTAAAAAATGCCACGACGATTATCAGATGTTTTAAGAGCCAGAATTGTAACTTTGAAGGAAAAAGGCTATTCTACGAGAGAAATAGCCCGCAGAGTTGCCCATCCCAATCCTGTGTAGTAACCACGTTGCAGAAGTACAACGGCATGGGTAATAATTTAGCTTATCGATCCCGCAGCGGTAGCCCAACTGTTTTGACAGCTGCTCAGAAGCGCTACATCAGGTTGCTGGTAGCCCGCGACCCAACAATAAACGCCACAAAATTAAAAGTAGAAATTCGGAATTGCTTACAGAAGGCTGGATTATATACACGGAGGTCTTGACGAGCACCTTTGAATTCACGGCAACGTCAGCGACGGAAATTACAGTGGGCTAAGCTCCGGCAAAACGAAGAAGACGAGGAGAAAAACATTTGGCAAAACTGCCACTTCGTTGACGAATCATGAATCACTACTTATCCAGATAACCGACGTGTCCGTGTTTGGAGAAGACTGAACGGTTCAGCAAGGCGGGAAATCAGTGTCCTTTTGGGGTGGTATTATGATTGGGGTTAGAACGCCTTTAATCACTTATCAAGGCTTCAAGGCAGATGATACAAAACAGTCACTATTGATGGAAACGTCAGACCTTACCGAGTAAACCATGGCCACCAATTTGTACTGGTTGACGATAACGCGCCCGCACATCGAGCTCAAGGAGTCGATGCTGCTCTCCGAGAATACGAAATCACAAGGTAAGACTGGCCTGCCGGCTCTCCTGACTTAAACCCAATAGAGCACACGTGGGATGCTCTTAAGCGACCTGTTATAACCGGCAGCCACTACCCCAGACAGTGCCGAAGCTCAGGGAAGCTGCTGTTCAAGAATGGGACAGGTTATCACAAGAAATGCTGGATAACTTGATCCTCTGCATGCTCCGCATGTGTTCGAGCCAGAGGAGGAGTTATTTTGTATTAGATAAACAACAATTTATTAATGAAAGGTTTTTAAGTTTGGTTAAACTATCTTTTTATTTCTATCAAAGTTCTATTACAATCGCCTTAGGATTGAATTATTATTTTTTTATACTAAAAATAACATTAGTTTTATTTTTTAATTTCAGATAGTGTATTTTTAAATAAAAAAAGATATAACGTAAACATTTTCTCTCGATTAAGTTAAATTTTGAAAATATATCAGTTTATGCAAGTGATCTCAAACTATTTTTCATGTGCGTACTCGAACAGGAAAAACAATAAAAATACATTGAATGGATTTTACATTTCAAAACAGTTCTACAATTCATTAAACATTAGTAAGAAGGTTTCAAATATTCTATAATTTGAGGAAGGCAGGCCCGGAAAAGTTATTCAATGCTTGAGTAACAAAAATACTACCTACTTGCAATATAAAAGTTAGAATTGAGATTTTAGTGCATCACAACACAAACTAGGTGACATATTAGTATAAGTAGGTACAAAATTTGTAGTTGGTCTGACTGAATACACGGCGAACCACTCATGAATAAGATATACTCAATATTGATCTTCGTATCGCAGTCGTTTCGTGGAGCCGAGCTTGTCCCAGTAACAGTGAATGCAATTCTTGTATATTTTATGCGGCCGGGTGCTTGATAGAATTATTTTATGATCCGTCCGATATTCCATTATATTTTTACTTTAAATTAATACACGTTAAGACGCAGACGTCGGTGATCGGCGGAGATCATTGATGGTCAATTCTATTATGAAGCACTTTATTATGAAGATTCAGAATTTCCGTTTTAACCTAAATATAAGCCAAATTTTATCACAATGCATACAAAGTACAACAAGCCGTACCGACATGAAATGAAGATAGCTACTTATCGATGCACCGTATAACCAACAGCACACACAAAGGGAAGGGGGAACGATGATATGCAGTCGGAAATCGGGATTATCTTTTTACCGATGACCGATTTATGTATTTATTTATAGAATTCATCCAACTGGTAGGTAACGGATGCGCTTGATAATATGAGAAACGACAAACTTTGGAGAGAAATGTAGGTAGTCAATAATTGTTTTACTAGGGAGTAACTAACAATTGACTTAAATGAAAAGAACACTAAAGATTTCGTACTGAAATATTAAATGTATTTCGAATCTGAGCTGAAAGCGAAACAAAATAATAGAACCTTAACTGCATAGAAGCTTTATTCGGCAATACTAACTAATAACGACGTGCAAGCTGTTATTGTGTATCGAGTAATGTCAACTTGAAGCAAACTACCGAACAACCAATGATGACAGGAACAATGAACATTCATGTTTTCTATCATAAAACCCTGAGATGGATTAAGACGTAAACCTTTTTCCAATCAATATAATAAATGAAATCTTAGTATCATTTGAAATCTCATATCATATGCATGTACAGAACATTTGGTATACTTATGGTACACCCATAGACTTGGTATAGTATAGTCTTTTAGACTGACAGATTGAGTAAAAGAGATATCATGCCCTTACAACCACCCCACAAGGTAGAAAGAGGCGCAACATGATGTACTTTTTTTCTAATCAAGTAAGAGCCAACAACGTCCTTCAAGCCTTTAGGCTTAAAGTTTATCACGAAATTCTGTGAAACTAAGAAAACAATTTTTGCTTACACAATTCAGTTTTTGTTATGGTATCCTGTGTTTAAAGCATATTTTCACAAAACGAAAATATCACTGCAATTAAACATATGCCGATACACACATATGCACAATTAAATTTTTGGAACACTTGCGATATGTACTCTGTCTATCTTTATATCCTATATGGGTACACCTTTGAAGGTATTGTTATAATGTTATTTACCTCACGGTCCTTATTCCCATAGGTAATACCCAGGTTGGGCATGGCGCGCAAGATGGCGACGAGTGACTGGATCGTGTTGCTGTACACCACTGGCCGGTACTGTTTGAAGTCTTCATTCGTAAAGCCACTTTCGTGAATAATTCTGTTGACAAACGAAAATGGCATTATGCAAAATTCACAACTATGATAACAATAATATATGAAAAACAAATTACAGAAGTATTCTTATTCAAAGAGTTAATTTCTGGAATTTTTATTTTTTTTTCTCTTTCTTTCATCGAATTCTTCTTTAGGATTTATTGGAGTTTTAAAATACATAAATACATGACGATAAAAACTCCGTTTCCTCGAGGTCCTACTAGTAGGACCACGCGGAAGCCTTATTCCTCGTAGTCCTACTAGCAGGACATATGTATTAAAAGTGAAAGTCTAGAGTTAAATAAAAAATATAAAATAAGCACACACATCTTCGTACCATTTCCTGGGTAACTACGATTCGAAGTATTCATATTGCTTTTCCAATTTTAACATTGAATGTTATGTGTCACATTGTACTCCGTTCAAACGCACAGACAAAATGATTTTCCATCAGTCGGTTCTAAAGTTTAGTTTGATAACGTTGAAGTTCGATCACATGCAGAAATTTGTAGTTTCATTGTATTTAGTTTGAATATGAGTTTTATTTTATATATAAACAAACCGTTACATAAGGTACCTGATACAAATAGGCCTATACTGAAATAAGGCCTGTAGTGCAGACAAGTCTATTAAAATATGTTTACATCAAAAATACTTTAAACACGCATTGATAACAGTTCTACAACTCGGCAAACAGTGCACGTAGCGATGCGCGACTTCGAATAGGGTCAGTTCGCCTGTTCGCGTCCATTTAGTGCAGTTGGAAAGTTTGACGACGATAATAAAAATATCCCAGCACTAATTTCTGTGAAAAATTTATATAATGTGTTCATTATATAGTCTATTTTAAGATTAACTTTCAGTTTTGTTGGAAACATCTATTGTTTTTTATTTAAATAGATAAACTCCGGAATAAGGCGTTTTACCCATTTTGCGTCCACAAAATCCAAATTGCGTCCACCACCTTAGAAAAGGAATATAGGGGTGATATTTTTAAGAATTTGTATTAAAAGATTGTACCTATTTTAACAATTCCTTTATTTTAGAATATTAATATTAAAACCAACATTATTATCATTAAAATTATCACTTTAAAAAAGTAAAAAATATTCTTCTCAATATGGATTGAATTTAAAATTATATAAGTAGTAGGTAAATAATGATTGCATCTTTAAGAATAAACAGTAATCAGTTCTGTTAATTTTACCCTAAAATCACAAGGAATGTTTTTCTCATCGTCGTCTTCTACATCTGAAATTAGTATATCACATTTAGAAAATTTTCTGTCTTAAATTCCTGATTTACCATTTCCTGTGTGACTTCTTGAAGAGCATGTACCTTCTTCTTTCGTTTTGGAGCAGTTTTACGAACCGTTAGAGAGTATTTTAAACTCTGTTCTTGTTTCTCTATTCGTTCTAACTTTCTTTTTCGTATTGCTTCCTGCTTTTCGTTCTTGATCTGCTCTTTATCTTCTTAATACTTACTCCATGCAGCAGAAGATATGGTTGCTAGAGTTCTTTGATTATCTTTTTGTGCTTTGTTAGAAATTTCGGGTAGCATCAGGTGGTGTCTGGTCCCGGTTTCTTTACTTCATTTGGTCTGCGCCCATTGATTTTGTACAATATGTCTATGTGTCTTACCGATTTATTCTTTTCTCGAATTTCATTTAACGCTTTCTTTAAATCGTCTTCTGTGTATATTCTCTTTTCCTTCTACTTTCTTGTCTCCGAAGAACTCATCTCAAATAGAAAAAAAATAAGAATGAAACAAATAAAGTATTTGATTGATTGATTGAAATTACTCATTTCATTTCAAAATAGTATTAAAAACACGTAGTCTTAATAAAAATGTATAATAATAATAATCAATACCTATATTTTAAATTATAATTAATTAATTGTATTTAACGAAAATAGTGGACGCAATTTGGTTTATTATTATCCCCTGTAGGTATAGTTTGCGTCCATTGCGGACGCAAATTGGAAGTTTTGTAATTTCGATGTAGTAATTCGCGTCCACCTTATTTTATTCATTAAATATGAAAAACATAACAAAATTTATAATTAATATCATTCCTTTCTTCACTATAAAAGTCTAGGAACAGCTAAGTATCCTAAAATTAACATAAAAAAATAAAAAACTTACCAACGAACGCGCCACTGCACACTATTTTTTATCTAAACATCCCGCGTGTACGCACTCCCTTGATGAATAACCGAGACTAATTATTTTTTTTTAAACGGGATTGTTTGGCGCACGTACCTTTTGACCATTTGTTCGTGCCTCTTATATATTAAGGTATTAGCGGTAATTACTTTTCGTTTGATTGATGTGTTAGTTTACTTAGTTTTGAGGATTTTTCAAGGGAGATCCGTAAAATGGACGCGAATTGGGCGATGGACGCGAACAGGCGAACTGACCCTAGTACTAATACTAATCATTCGACTCCACGAATCATTCGACTAAGTCGACTGCGCTAAAATGAGACTTCAAATCTAAGACTAAGACTTAAAATCTTGACTAGCATTTTAAGCTAAATATTTAGTAAAATAAATTAGAACGTTGTTCAAGGATCCTATGGAAACACTTGATTAAAGGCTCAGAAATACATATTTTAATATAATTTATACTCTAATAATAATATTCCTATAATTTAGGTACATAGGCTTTGTTAAGTCACTATGTTTTTAAAAGGCCTAAGGCTAAGGTTCCAGAATTAGCTCTTTTTAAGTGTTTTCTGATAATAGATTGTCATATGTTTTCTTAATTACTTAAAATTTATGAACCAAAGAAAAATGCCTTGCTTTTAATTATCACCTTCTTCGAATAATTTATTATGATATGAGTGTTTGAAATTAGGTAGGCCTTATGTGTATCACTTACCTTATGTAATGTCTCGTATGTAACTGAACTTGCTTTATGCAGGTTTCTTGTATTTTATTTTTGTTTTGTGATATGAATAAATAAATATTTCTAACACTAAAAATGCAGCTAAGCTACCTATTAACGATCAATACTTTGTAATGTTGTCGTCATTTGATGGAAAAGCAATAGATTGCCATTATTTATATAATTTCGTATCAATTAGTTACGAAATATTTTTTTTATGTCAAAAGGGTGACAAACAAGCTTATGGCCACCCTGATGGTAAGCGGCCACCACAGCTTATAGATACTTGCGATAGAAAAAATATCACTCGCGCCGTTGTCTACCCTGACCTAATCCCCTAACCCGTGGAGTCCTAAAACCTTTCTCACCAACAGAAACACAACACCACCAAAAGGTAGTGTTATTTTACTATGTTCTTCTGTCAGGTGCAGGTTACTTCCCCAGGCGCGCTTCAATCCGGAAAATCCGCAAACCACTCTCATAGGCACTAGCCTATGGGAGAGGTGGGGCACATATTTTCGGACGTCTATGACTACATAGACATCCGAAAAAAAAAACCCTGTAACGTCACGTGGTTTATATGATAAATTCAAAAACTATATTTTGTACCGTGGGTAGCGGTTCTAGTTTGAATGGTAGGGCCACTGAAACTGGAACCGCTGACTTGAGCATAGAAGCGGACAGTTGCTTTGGCTTATACTGACTTACAAAAAAGGCTATATCTAAGTTGGACACACGAACGGTTCCGTACGTATAAAATCGTAATAGGTGTTGCAGTGGGACAATAAGAGTATTAGATATTGAAGTTTATCATCTAGTATAGAAAAAACCGTATAACTGAAAAGGTAGGGGGCATACTTACAGAGAATTGATCCTAAGAGGTTAGGGGGGAACTCAAATTGAGATGTTTGATAGAAGTTCCGGGCAGTCAACAGCCCCTGAAGCGATCCTACTGAGGAAACTAAATCCGCAATTTCGCGACGCATTTATAATGGGAGAAGATAATGCTTTCTGCAGTTTCCCGTAATGACGTGATTCATAGCGTTCCTTGGTACGTTAGCACATATATCTAACAAACTTTCTCTGGATCTTCGATAATGCACGTTTATGCTCTCCAATGCGAGATATTGAATATATCGTTTAAATTTTAGGTCGATTACTTCACGAGTTCCTGAGATAAAGGGTCTTGACAGACAGACGGACAACAAAGTGATCCTATAAAGGTTCTGTTTTCGTCTTTCGAGGTACGGAACCCTAAAAATATACTATTTAATTAATACAAGTAAGCACCATTAAATATACAAAAATATGTAGATATTCATTTCTCATTAGTCACTATTCATTAACACACTGACTGCCACGATGACTCATTTGAAATACTATTTTAATAAGCTAAGCATTATCACGGGCTCTTTACTGCTGCAGAAATGTAAATTATAGTAAATATTTAATGGCTGTATGTTGTGTTCTCGTGACTTAAAAAAACGGTTTATATAAAATGGAACCTAATATGGAGACGGGCGGAGCCAAGATTGTGAAACATCGGGCCGATTATAAATGAAAATGTATTCCATGTTTCATTCTCGGCTCCTGCCGACTTCCAAATCATCATACTAGGACCCATCCGATATCTATTTTCGATTTTGAAGCCGGTTTTTATTTTTTGTTTAAAAATAATTTTATTATTGCGGAGAAATGGCTGCAAGAGCTGTTGTGAATTTCTGTTATATTTTGAGAACCACCAGTAAAAATAATTGCTGAAAATGCGTACAAAGTAACCAACATAATTCGAAATATTCTCGATTGACAACAGTTGGTTCAGTGTATGTTTAATTATATTTATTTATCGCTAACTAGAAGGAGGAGGAGGATATTGAGCTCTACTATATTTCGGAAGGCATGTTTCCCACCGTTAAACACTGGACTTTTTGGGTCATAGCCCGGAAAGCTTGTACCCCAGTAGTGGCGATATAATAGGCTGATGCTGTAGCGGTTCGGAGGACGAGATTTTTGCAAGTCATATACAATGACCTTCTATTAAGGTCATTGGTCACAGAGGAAACATTCTATGATTCATTTATGTAAGATACGTTAAGGTAGCTGATCCATTCATGA